TGAAACACAAAAGAAAATGTTAGTCATCATTTCTGAGTGAGTGACGTTTTATTGTATTATCTTCTTTGCAATATAGATAATTTACTTTGAAGTTCTGATAACAGTTAATTTTAAATCAGTATGAAATAAATTTCATCCATTTTTTGTTTTAGATGATTACTTACTTCCAAAATATTTATTCCATGTTATTTTTTTTTCTTTTTATTGGGCATAGAAAAGGGAATAACCTTTTTCTCAATTCGATTTAATTACTGTTACTATCCTCTCAAAAGTTATAGAAATCATTCTTTCAAATCAAATATAAGAAGAAAATGATAAGCACATTTATGAAGAATAAAGGCTTGGAACTGGACACCTATACAAAAACCAAATGATGGAAGTAGAGGACTTCACAAAGGAGACTGGATTAATTTAAAAAGATAGTATACAAGATGCGAGAAGTGACACAAAATTCAAGCTTTGGAGACTACCTTATATAAAAATAGAATAATTGGGAAAATATTTGAAATATTTCAACTCATAGCCAAGTTGATTTTCATAAACGTCGAAAATGAAAACTTTTAATGTGTCGTTTTTGTTGTCTCATCAAGTGTTATGATAACACTGTTCCGGACCAGGACCACATTGGACAAGCATGTCATAACAGAAAGCTTGTATGGCGCCTTCATAAAAGAAACTGGGATGGGACTAGTAACCAATGTTAGAAAGAGAGAAAGTATTATCCTATATTGTGATTCAGAGAGAATCCTTGTCAATAAAATTTACTATCTTTGACTTCAACTACTTTCTCTTCAAACATATTATTACTAGGGTCAAACTATAAAATTTTCTTTGGAAGTTCACTTTTAGAAAAAAGTGTTGAAGACATTCCGAATGACGAACAAGGTTTTATCAGTAACTTTTTCATGTGTAAAGTTATCAAGGGAAAAAGTTCATTAATGATGACTCGATTTGCAGTTCCCAACAAAATTGTGTTCTTCCATTAGATTTTACTACTGGAATGATTAGTGAGATCCCCTTATGAATATTTGATAGGTTTGAGAATTCCACCTTTGATCATGATGCCTGCCTATTTGACAAATGGAACTAGTGTAGCTCAACAAAATGTTTGAATTGCATGTGTGCCAAAGTTTATATTTGACTAGTTATTGTGAGAATTTTATCTGGTATTGTTGAGCTGAAAGGAATAAGGTAGAACTGGGACCTCTGGCGTAAAATAAATCCAAAACAGTTCAAACACCAGAACTTGTAACCCTCTTCTGGACTCGCGTTTTACCAACCAAGCTGGCGTCTTTAGGCGATGAATTAGACTACTTCATCTCTTGATATTTTAGTAGTTTAGGTTAGGTGAAAAATTACTGGGTCTATTCGACCCTCCACCGCAACCCACATGGGTTTATTGTGGCTCACACCTATTCACACTCGACCAAGTGAAGACAGCTTCTCAACGAAACCGATTAGTTTGTATGGTGAGTGTGCCTGCCCCAGCGGGGCAGGCACAAAGTATGTGCTCTGCCGTTTCAACATTATCCAAACAGAGGCGACACACACTGTCTTCCGACACTCCGAGTCTCTGCATATGTTGATTCAGATGACAGTGACCTGTGAGAAAGCCTATTAGACATCGTAGTTCATCCCTACTGTAGTCCAACAATTGTTTGGTATCAAGCTTCGAAGTGTGAATGAACGCCTTGGAGTGAGCCGATGTTTGTTTGACAAAGCCTAAAGCGATGCCAATGACAGGTTCTGGTTGGATGAAGCTGCTTGCACCCTCCTTTGCAAGGGAGTCAGCAGCCTCATTGCCTTTTAGGCCAGTATGGCCAGGAATCTAGACCAGAGATAATCTGTTGAGTCTTCCTATCGAGGAGAGTAGTTTTTGGCAGTTTGCTACCAATTTAGACGTTGCTCGGTAGGAGCCAAGAGCCTCCAACGCCGCTTGACTGTCCGAGAATGTTTTTATTGACTTGTGTATGAGGTTGGATTCTTCCAATCACTCTGCACACAATTCGATAGCATAAATTTCCGCTTGAAATTCGGTCGCATAGGTTCCTAGGCAGATTAATATCTCGGTCCTGGGTCTGCGACTGAAAACACCTGCATCAGAACCTGATGGTGTTTTTGATCCTGTGAACCAACAACTATCTGTTCCTAATATTTCCTTCTCCTGGAGGATCCAGTCCTCCCTACTCGGGAACAGTACTTTATAAGGCAGTTCGTAATTGACAGTTGGAGGCATAAAGTCAGAGGTCATTCCCAGAATGCTGTGAGTTTCAGGGTCAACCAGCAGTCTATATAATATTGAAGTAGCTAATGTTTCTAAAGTATTAAATGATTTTAAATTGGGAGTAATTTATCCTTCATGTCGCGTTTTTGTCAGCCTTTCATGGTGAAAATCAGTAAAGTATAACTAAGTTTTGATATGAATTTCTATCAAGTATCATAGTTAGTTCATAATATTTCAAGTAATAGTCATCAATATTTCGTCTTCTTTTCTAGTTTCTTGTTTATAAAATGTGAACTGTTTTTATTTTTATATTTTTTTGTTTTGTATTTTATAAGTGACGACTGTACTATGAAGAGCATTATTTGCTAATAAAGAGTAATAATAATTTTTTATTGCGATATTTTTACTAAACAAACGGCAACAATGTTTCACCACTATGTAATAGCTTTTTCAACAGTGTTCAATACATATTTCAAAATTCTATTGTATGGAGTTGTATATGAAACTAAAATTATACAACAAAAGTTTCAGGTTCACAAAAGGCATCTGTTAAAATGATTCACTTTATATGAAGGGAACTTTGTACTTGATTAGATTTGTTACAAATAAGATAGGTAGGTGTCCAAAGTATAACATTTATTAAAGATAATTGAATATATGAAGATGATGAAAATAATAATCTTCAAGTTTATTGGAAATATCTGATAACTATATTTGGAAAATTGCATGTGAAGTGATATATTGAATATATAAAATAATATACACAGTTCAAGTTAAATAATACATTTATACAACTTTGTTGTGGTGAAGGTATAGGTGAAACTCAAACTACAGCAAATCATGAAAGCTAAATCTATTGAAACCAATAATAATTATTTTGACATTTTCTTAGGTTCGAAGATATTGGAAAAATAAACCAAGGTATTTTTGCTTCTGCAATCTATATTTATTCTGGGAAATTCTCGTAATAATATCAAAATTTTTTCAGGAACTTTGTATAAGGTTCAAATCATAAAAATACTTCAATGTTTGCTTATTCAAGATGAAAAGTGGTCCCCATAACCAACCGTTGCAAAATCAAGATTTGACATCATTATTCTACTGGTGATAAGATAGCAGATTACATTAAATGCACAAAGTGGTTTTCTAGTGGTTTAAGCTTTTAAATATTTATGGAATGCTGAAAGCGAATTTTACAATACAGTTCGTTATTATGTCATGATTTAAAATGAAACAAAGTTCATTATTTAATTGAAAGGAAGAAAATTATCGCATTACCAAAATTTTTAAGAATGCCAATGACATTCTATGCTTATTTTTCATCTAAAAATTCAACCTGTCTAAACAGATTTATACAATTGGAAATGGAAAATTATGACTTCCCAGGGGGACTAGAGACTGTTAACAATTATTATTCAATTATCAATAAATTTACACAGAAAAACAGCAACTATTTCCATTGAAAAATATCAACTTTAGACTTATGATGGTATTCCCCACCGCATAAATGAAAATCAAAGTTTCCACTGAAATAATGTTTCTAACTTCACTAAATTCTTACAGGATATTCTATAGTAGGGGGTGATCAATTTCAAACCTTAATTAAAAATTATTATTCTGCATGGAAACAAAATTTTAGCATCACCAAATCCACATAGAATACCAAGTACTAAATCTAATTTTCTTCCATTGAAAAACTTCTTGAATATTCTTGAGTAGCTCTTGCATGAAATGAAAAGTTATGACTTCTCAAGGGGCTAGGGAGTGTAAAATTTTAACCCTTTCAACAATTCAATGGAAAACTAAGTCGACTTAGTTGTTGGTTTTCTGTTAAAATTTGTTGATGCCAGAAAAGTATTTCAGTGGTAACTTTGATTCACAGTTGTAGGGGGTGGAAGTTACTACCCCACGTTTCCTCGAGAAGTCAAAATTCTCCATCTTTATACAAAAACATGTGAGAATCTTGCAAAGAAAAGAAGAAAGAAATTTATTTCAAAGTAAACTCTTTAGAAAAATTTATACATTCGGGTTGAAAATCAAGCATGAAAAAGGGGTTAAAATTTACTGTGCAAGGATAAATTAACATTTCAGCTACCTACTGAGTCAATACACATCGGTTTACCAGGTTGAAGTGTCTCACTAACTCCCCATCAATTTGCACTGTATTAGGTCAATAGAATACTCTATCGTACTGTGCACGCTTGCAATGGACAAGAAAAGTTCATTTCGACTCAAGTAACGAGACTGGTCTGAGAATCCTTTATAAAGTCTGTGATCAGACTTTATAAAGGGACCATTTGAGAAAAGAATCGAAGAACTTCTTCAACAAAGCGGAAATCAACTCAAAATAATGACAGGGCTATTCACTGGACACTGTTCTTTGGAGAATGCAAAACAGAACAGGGTTATATAATGAAGATAGCTACAGGTAATGCAACGAAGGGACAGAGGCAGCTTGTCAAGTTTTATGCCAATGTGAGGTACTGGATCGAGGAGGCTAACGATTCATAGACTCATCCCAAATTATATTGAGAAAATATGGCAATCATTAGAAAGGAACTGTACAATTTAAGACAGGGAAAAAGTTGTTGCAATGGGTATCATTATCAAGAAGGGGGGGAAAAGCAATAAGCCTTTAAGGCTGCATGTTTTCTTGAGAATTAGGAGAATGGAAAAATCAAAGAGCTCACAAGCATGGGCAAAAAAGATAATCATATTCATGGTGTTTATGAAAGCAACCATACAAAACCAAATAAAAAACTATTTTTTCACTCACCCCTCGGTTCAAAACGCTTTGTTCTGGCAGTGGATGGGGATTGCTCTCTCCACTCATTTCGTTCCATTTTATCCATTTGGTTTTTATCTCCATAAACCCTGGTTTTACTAGTATGGTTTATTCCATTTCCATTTCCATTGGCATGAGCAAAGGAATCAGGATTTGATTCCTGGGAAGCACCTACTTCTCTAGCTTGAGCAAGAGCACGAGGAACATAATGCATTTGTTCAGGTTTTTTAATTCTCTTTGTTGCTTCAATATTCAATGAAATGTCTTTTAAAAGGGATGGAGTATCATCCACTTCTATAATTTTGTCCCTAGGAGAACTGCCTTCACTTCTGAATCTGGAAGTATCTTCAGGTTGTCCCTTTTTGAAGTGATCTTGTCTAGAGTTAATCAAAATGTTGGTGTCTGATTCGGAATCTTCAATATTATTTGATTTTCTCAAAGGTCCACTACCTGGTCTGTATATTTGTTGTTGTGGCTTCCCTCGTCTCATATTTTTTCTTCGCACAGGTATGAAATCTGCAGGCAAAAAAGAGACTTTGAAGGTGTTGAATAATATTCTTTGTTTATAAACATGTATTAGGAAATTTTGATTTTATAGGTTATGTCAGAAATCTTTGCTTAAAATAAAATTGTACCGTTAAATATTTCGAATTTTATTTGAATATAAAAAATCATAAATAATCATAATTGCGTTGATGGAAATTTTCAATGATACAAAACCTACCAGAATACTCTTCAGATTCTTCCAAACTCGCCATGACACCTCTTTGACTTTTTCGTGTAAATGTATATTAGAATAATAACAGGTGAAAACAAACATCAATGTAAAATGTGACACAAAATGATCTGAAACTCACCTAAAATTTTCTTATCTCAACAAAATTGGTAGTTATCTTAACCTTGAACATTTCGTATTTTCAAACTATAACCTATGTTTAACTAACGAAAGTCTTTGGCGGGAAATTTAAAATAATGAACAAGAAACAGAAAACCTTTTTCGAAGAGAAAAATGAACCTGATCAAGCTGGAGCTGTCTTCATTACAGAAACGTCTCAAATTCAAAGGCATTCTACTCCGGGACCAACCGCCAGTCGTTCTGCTTCTCAATCTACCTCGAGAATTAGAAAAAATGAGGAATTAATGCCACTAAGTGTTGCAAAATCTGCTAGTATAGATTCTGAAACGGAAAAGCAAGTTATTTTGACACTCAAGAAAGTACAAAAAGATATGACCACTATTGAGGGAAAAGTTAACATAATTTCACAAATGTAAGTACCTATTATCAAAATACGCCTTTCTCCATTTCTCTGAATTTTGAATTTTTACTATATCTCTCTTTTTTTTCGAAATATCGATACAATTCGTAATAAGGTAAAAAAAAATTTAAATATTGATTCAATGTTTTTCAATAGTAAGTCTTTAAGAATCGCTGACATCTTCCATTTTTTGATCTGGTGCAGAATCAGAGAGCTGCAGATTAAGATACGTTGAAGGCGTTGTTGAAATACATTGTTTCTTATGAGCCAACGCCGCAATGTCTGCATAATTTGAAGCGCATTGATTGTACGCGCGTCCCTCCCGGCTCTTGATGTTTGTCTTTCCATTATGACTCTTCTACCAATTATAATTATAACTTTGAACTCATTCATTCATTATTTCGATTTGTCAAATCAGGACCTTTCAATCGGGAGTCGGGCGCATATTTGTTCTAGAGTTTTATTTCAGTAACAGGCTGAATTTTAGTGTAAAATAAATGAAAAATCAATCCCTATTTGGATTTTTTTTCAATCACAGAGAAACAAGTGCAACTAGTAACATCTGAAATTTGCAAGCAGGTTATTTCCTTCTAATCTTCCGCGACGAATTTAAAGCGTCATATGCTTATTAAAAAACACCACACGGTAAAAATTCAACCCACTGAATGAACAGTGAAAACCCACGTTGAGAAGAATTCACAGGGACAGGGACCTACAATTTTGCAACAGGTAGGTATTTAATTAATTCGTTTTGCATTATTTCTGTCCAAAATTTCATGAAAAACAATTTTGACTCGTCGGTGCTCAGTGCAGCCGAGAGAACAGGCCACAAAGCAGTCCCGTCATCCAGTTCCAGCACCAAACCTGCGCAAGCGTCTTTGGAATAGCCACTCACCGTCTGAACAAGTTCAGTTCATTGAAAAGAACAGGTTCACTGAACAGTTGATTGATACCTGTTCCGAAAAATCAGTTCGGTTCTTATGGGCCCATCTCTATTTCCAAATAAAAAAGGTACACCTCCTCAACAACGCTGAAGGTGATCGTTTTCGAGATATTTACAATTTTCTATATCGATGCACATTACTTAGCTCCTAGGGCGCCAAGTGAAGTTGCTGGGAACGTTACAAAACCTAAGTATGTGATGGATCTCGTCAGAAATAAACTAAGTGATTTCGGAGACCATTGGGTACAACTTCCATAAGTTGGGGAAGCTCGTGTTCCAAAAAATCTAGGAAAGCATCTCCATTCAAACGTTAGAGGAGAAAATAGGGCCCAATTAAATAATCCCCATACATTAAAAGAGAATCTGTGTTGGAAATGGGTTTGCGTTATCGCATGTGGGTTATCTTCCGCCCAGATGTGGTTGTTATAGAAGTTCATTATACAATTTCTTGAAAAATTAGCCTCATCTGTGAAGAGAATTTTCGATAAAATTTGCGGATGTTTGTACGATTTTTCTTTGAAGCCATTGAGCAAATTCGATACGTGGATGGAAATCACGTAGTGCTTGGACACGCTGAATATGATAAGGATATAATTGCTGTTCCATTAAAATTCTGTAAACTGTCATGTGACTCACATTTAAAGTTTGACCAATTTTTCTTGTACTTGTCTCTGGATGTTCACTAATTTCTTCGAGAACCGCCTCCTCCAATTATACAGTTCTTGTAGTCCGTGGCCGTCCTACTGCAGAATTTGTTTCAAAGCTTTCAGATTCGGAAAGTCGCCGAAAAAGATTCGCAAATTTCGCTGCACAAGGAGCACATCATAAACCCCGAACTGTGAATTTGTCAATTAATAGTTAAAAATGTGACAGCGAACTCAAGAAATTGGAAAACCATAGACACGTGTTTCGGGCTTTTGGTCCATCATCATTATGGTGCAGCCAAGTGTGAGGATGGGCAAGCAACACTTGGTTACCAGAAGAAAGAAATACAAATGCACGGAGCCATCAGCAGTAGTCAGCCGCACATTTGTGGTTTCAGTTAATAGATCTTGTGTTTAAAGAAAAACTATCAAAATCACCACGGAGGCAGTTATAGCCACTTTCTTGAGTGCTATGTCTGATTAATATCCCCTTTATCTATACCAAAACAATCGATAACTTTCTTATTTGTATTATTTCCTAGACCCGGATGTCACGCAGGAAGCTATAGCTGCCTCCATGGTGATTTTGATAGTTTTTTTGTAAACACAAGTTCTATCAACTGAAATCACAAATGTGCGGCTGGTTACTGCTGGTGGCTCCGTGCATTGGTATTTCTTTCTTTTGGTAACCAAGTGTTGCCCATCCTCACACTTGGCTGCACCATACTGATGATGGGTCAAAAGCCCGAAACACGTGTCTATGGTTTGCCACTTTCTTGAGTGCTATGTCTGATTAATAACTCCTTTATCTATATTAAAGCCGTTTTTTTTAGCTGATACCACTATTGCTATCTCAGAAACGGTAGGTCGTACAAGGACGATTAAAAAGAACAAAACATACCTTTTTAGGGATGCAACACAATGGTGTTTTCAGATCCATAAAATCTTCAACGGTTTGTGAGATATTTGCAAAAAACTGAAAATGGCAGATTTTATTTTTTTGATCTACCGCCTCCATTTTCAATAATATCAAAAAATGACAAGGAAACTTCTTGCTTTGATTCATGTGCTTTATAATCTGGGTGAACTCATTTTTCAATGCAACGTTTCGTTCATTGAATTCTATCATCAATATATGTTTTTTAAATACGGACCTGTATATTGTTTTATATATTTTCGTAGTCATTATAGTTACAAATTCGTTGATATATCACATCTATCTATATTTTCCGACGTTTCTTCCTGAATCCACATCATCACTATCATTTTTTATTAAGAGCTCGAATTTCCGAATGTTACTGAAATCCAGAGTTCGATAATGTCGTTCATTGAGATTATAAATATTTGTATTCACTGAAATCCAACAAAATTTCTGTCAGGATCGTCTCCACAGATGTTAGATAACTGCCAGAAGCACACTATTTCTAGAGTAAGTATTTGTTTAAGAAATAATAGAAGGCAATTTTAACATTTGATGCGATATCGCGTGAGATGGTTACTTAAAAAATGTAACGTAAGACATTTCGTTTTCAATGTGATGTATTAACGGTACTGTTAACTATGTGGTGCAACAATAGTTTGATATTTGATTTCTCATCGAATAAAAAAAGTTAAATGATAGAATATTTATGATGTGGTTTCAGGAAGAAACGTCGAGAAATACATATGTTGTGATATGTCAACGAATTTGTAATTATAATGACTACGAAAATGTATAAAAAAATGCACAGGTCCGTATTTGAAAAAAAATATTGATGATGGAATTTCATAAACGGAACGTGGAATTGAAAAATGAGTTCACCCAGATTATACAGCACATGAAATGAAACAGAAAGTTTTTTGTCATTTTTTGATATTATTGAAAATGGAGGCGGTAGAGCACAAAAATAAAATCTGTCGTTTTCAGTTTTTTGCAAATATCTCAGAAACCGTTGATGTATATATCGTCAAGCTTTCGTCTCTGAATAGAGACTTCGTCAGGACAAAGTAATCTGAGTTTTTCAATTGAATATTGATAAAATGTTTTCACAAAATTGGCGCATTGATATTAATAATGTCATAATTTTCAGATATCTCTGATATCTGAATTCTACTTGGTTTGCCAGAAAAATAGCGTAAGAGTTACCTACTCCAACACTACAGCAATTCGTTTCCCGATCGTGAATTACCTAATCGGCGTTTTTTTACTGTACTTCATCGTCGATTCAGGAACAATGAAAAAGTTTTTGAGAAGATTAGAACTAAAAAACGTTTTGTAATATCTGAAGATACGGAAATTGACGTTTTAGTCTACTTTGAGGTAAATACAAATATTTTCATCAGAGATTTATTTAGAGAAATATCTGTTCCACCGTCTAGACGGAATAACAGACGCGTCTGTTATTCAATCAATTCTGAAGAAACATAAGATTTCTCCTTATAAGTTAAGACCAGTGTAAATACTAGAACCTGGTGGCCCTGAGAGACGATTGGGTTTTTTTATCTGATTGATTCGGCCGTTACTTGATGAAGATCCATAGTAATTTCAAAAACTACACCTCACGATTTGATCTCCACAAACTTTATTTGAAAAAATATATTCACAACATGTTTCGCTAGCACGTAGCTTTTTCAAGTGTATGGGGTTTTGTCGGTGGTTTATGAATAAATGCAGACAATATCCAAACTTCATTAGGAATATTATATGGAGCCATATGGATAATTTTTCAAATTGTGGGATGTATAATAAACATAATTTTCATTACTGGAGTAGACATAATCCAATTTTAGTTCATCCCCACAATTTGCAAAGAGGATTGAGTATTAATTTTTGGTGTGGTCTAATCAGAGGTAGAATTATCGGTCCATTTTTCTACCATGGTTCTTTGAACGGACCCCGTTACATATTTATCAACAAAAATGTTGGAAGAGTTTTTCGATGATCTTGATATGGAGACTCGTCAGACTATCTATTTTCAGCGGGATGGAGAACCAGCGCATAATTTCAGTGGTGTAAAAAGAATGTTGCGAGGCTGTTTTGGAAACAGATGAATTGCCACAAATGGTCCTGTTAAGTGGCCTCCTCGTTCACCAGACATGACACCTCTAAATTTTTATTTTTGTGGATTTCTGAAAAATGAGACGTACAAAATAAAACATAATGTAGATGAATTGAAAAATGATATTTATTGAAACTATAATTAACAAAATTGATGGCCGAATTGTGTTGAAAGCAATACGTAGTGTCAAGAGAAGGGCCCAAATATGTGTTCAACAAGCTAATATGGTATTATCTTCAATATGTTGTTTTACAATTTTTCTCTCCTTTATTACTTAGCCTTTGCTCACGAAAATATTATATATTTTATGAACAGTTCCAGGGTGTTAGGTTAAGTTAGATTAGGTTAAAAGTGAGTGAGTCTATTCGACCCTCCGCCGCAACCCGCAAGGGTTAATTGTGGCTCACACCTATTCACACTCTACCAAATGAACCAAGCTTTTTAACGAAGCCGATTAGTTTGTATGGTGAGTGGTCTTTCAGGTCAGATGGTAGGACTACGGCTCTGCCAAACTCCGAAAACCTAATTCGGTTCCCAGCAGGGCAGGCACTAAGTATGTGCTTCCAAGGTGTAGAGCTACCTCTAGCAGGTGTCTTCTTTTGAATTCAGCAGCCGCTTCACGATAAGACCTCATGCCTTCACCAACAATTAAAACAATTTCAATTTTTGTTTCGGTGTTGAAATGAGTATGAAGATTAATTTTGTTTCGGTTGCATGGCAAAATGTTTCCTCAATATTTTAATAAAGGACCCCTCACATTTCTTATGAGAAATGGTTTGCCGTGAATTTTAACGAAATTTTAACTATAGCATATATAGTTCTTGATGTGCCGATTGAAAGTGTTCACAGCCAAAGCTCGAAAATATACAGGTTTCGAGATGTGAACCTTTGAAAATAGATTTTTTTAAATTTTTTGCGGTATTTGCTCATTAATCGAAGAGCTCTCACTTCTGGTTGGGATAGAATTTGGATGTTTGGCACCCATAATTATTTTTACGAATGGTCTACCTCAGTTATATTAGATGACGTCATCGATAATTTTTCATACACTGCTCCACACTATCTCGATAATCTGAGAATGTGGTGCTGTAATATTTTCCTCAGAGAAGCTCAAAATGGATGATAGCATCTCACAGCCAAACGAATCCGTGAAAAAGTTTGCATCTTTGATACTTGTGACTACTCTCCAGATAGAATGAAGGGGTTCAGGTATTGAAAACGAAATATTTTACACCCTAGTATGATTTATCGTAAAAATGGGTTGTTCCATAGCGAGTGGCGGGCACTGTATATCACTTTGGCCAACCCCATTTGGGTGGTAGGTGCATTTTAAGCATTTCCATCAGTCCTCTGAGTTTCATCATTCTACCTCAATTATTACGGAAGATACGGGGGTATTTTCATTCGGAGTTTTCGAGACTGAATTTTTTTCAGATAAAAAGTGTATTTGTAGTAAGTTGGTAGTCCTGATCACGAATCTGAAGGAATTTTGAGCCTATTTTGCCCCCTAGTATTTTTATCCTGAAAATGGGTCGTTCCATCGCGAGTGGCGAGCAGTGTATATCACTTTGGCCAACCTCATTCAGATGGTAGGTGCATTTTGAGCATTTCCATCATTTTGAACATTTCCATTTCCAGCAGTGAGAGTTTTATCATTCTAACTCAATTATTACGGAAGATACGGAGGTATTTTTATGAGATGTGAGACAAATTCGAATTTTTCGAGACTGAAAGTTTTTCAGAGAGAAAGTGTATTTGTAGTAGGTGAGTAGTCATGATCACGAATCTGAAGGAATTTTTGAGCCTCTTTTGCCCCCTAGTATTTTTTACCGTAAAAATGTGTTGTTCCATCGCGAGTGGCGGGTAGTGTGTATCACTTTGGCCAAATTCATTCAGATGGTAGATGCATTTTGAGCATTTTCATCTGTCCTCAGAGTTTCATCATTCTATCTCAATTATTACGGAGGATAGTTGTTATTTTCATGAGATGTGAGGCAAATTCGGATTTTTCGAGACTGAAATTTTTTCAGAGAAAAAGTGTATTCCTAGTAACATGATAGTCCTGATCACGAATCTAAAGGAATTTTTGAGCCTCTTTTGCCCCCTAGTATTTTTTACCGTAAAAATGTGTTGTTCCATCGCGAGTGGCGGGTAGTGAATATCACTTTGGCCAAATTTTCGAGACTGAAATTTTTTCAGAGAAATAGTATATTTGTAGTAAGTACCAAACATTTCATCTGCTACTGCAGCAGACATCATCGGTGGCATCAGACGATACGTTTGGTTTTTCAGGTTCCATTCGACCCCGGCCTACATGCTCGGAATTCGTTATCTTCATTTTCATTATTATTTCAATGTTCATTTCAGCACTTACTTCACAGATGTTCACTTTTTCAGAGAGGGTCCAAGGGAAGTTTTGTGCTGTAAATATAACGAGGAATATGACTATCTAGCTGCCGGATATGCAGATGGAATTATAAGAGTATACCAAAGTGCGACTGGCGAGCATATATTCACTCTCACTGATGCAGACGTTAAAGACGTTAGGGCACCTTGTACCTCCATAAAACACAGGCCAGTCTCCAAGATATATCCCATTACAAACTGCTTCACAGGAACATGTAAATATTTCGTAACCACTGTATACCACATGAATCATTTTATACAGAATGAGGTAAAAGTATCTATATCCAAAAATGTCTACCTAAACAAGTTCATTTTTAAACTATTCAACATACCTACAGCCATATTTTTTTGTATTTTTCTATGAAAAGTTTTTGTCGGAATATTTAATTTGATAAAACAATTTGGTGTCACTATGAATCGTTGTAAACTGAATAATTCAACTGAAAGATTCATTTTGATAAGTGAAATGATTTAGCTTCAGTACTTTAGTTATATTATTTTGTATATGTATTTATTACAGTCACTTCAGTGCATAAGCATGATGATATGTCCCACAAAGTTGGACATTTGGGTATAAAAAATAAAAAGTCCATTTTAGAGCTACATTTTTATTTCGATCATATCATGCTGCAATTTTTAGGACGTGGTAGGTACAACAAGTATAGGAATAGGAGCATAATAACCGCTTTCGTTTGTACTCGTCAATTTCATGCATAGTAAAATGAGCACCAAGATGAGTAGGAGATTTGAGCCGGTTCTAGGCCTCCCCCCACCACTATGACGTCACGTGGGGTGAATGACCTGAACCGACTCGACCTTGAAAAATATGTTTGGTGCATGCGACCTTGAAAAATATGTCTGACGCATATGACCTTGAAAAATATGTCTGGTGCATATGACCTTGAAAAATATGTCTGGTTCCTAGGTGGGATGTGTACCGCACCCAAAAATCCCCATCACCCAACACGAGCACAACACACCTTCACTTCACAAAGTTCGAGACACGAATGCCCGTTCTGCGCTTTCGCCTCAACGCATCGGTGGTAGGGTCGCCTGTGACGCTACCTCTTGGGGGAGAGAGTACACGCGTCCTACGCAACCCACCCAACGCGAGCACAACACACCTTCACTGCACAAAGTTCTAGACACGAATGCCCGTTCAGCTTTCACCTTAACGCATCGGTGGTGGGGGTCGTCTGTGACGCTACCTCTCGTATCTTCTCTGTCGATGCATTGCTAGTGGGGTTGTCCATGCCGAGTGTCTAGCGGCGCGCATTTGTTGCCCTGTGGTGGGACGTGGGTCGCTATCCATCATATAAGGAATGAATATTTTCATATGGAGAATCATTAGAAGAAGCTGCATCAGTTAGAAATTGTTCGTGAGTTATTCAGTGCCATATCTACAGCTGTTAGCAATTGCGTGAGTGTGTTTTTCTGTCGAAAACTGTTCCAAGCAATTATTCATCATGTCTGTTTAAAAAATAGACTTGCAAAAAATCAATAGTGTGATTATACAGGAGATGAAAGTGTTGGAGCAAAGGGTCTTATCATCATTGGCAATAAATTAAGCATATGTAATAAGGAATATAACCCTTTTTTCCACTCGGTTTGGTGAATCAATTTTATTAACCGTGTCTAGTGTATCTCGACGATATAATTGTGGTCGGAAAATCGTTCGACGATCACTTAAAAAATCTGGAGGAGGTATTCATGCGTCTGAAGAGTTCTGGATTGAAACTTAGTTCCAAGAAATGTCATCTGTTGCAGAAAGAAGTCCGTTACCTTGTTATATATATGCATGGATATATACACATGAACTGAGTTCCAGGTTTTGATCCGTGTTCTGTGTGCTACTATCCTCAATGGGATTCATCTCACGACGTTTCAACATGGCGATTTCTGTATAGTGTTCGGAAGTCGATAGACCTTACTCGATCCGCTCCCTACTGGAAAGGGATGTTTGTTACGTGTTCGGAAGTAGACTGCCCTTACACGATCTGCTTCCTACTATATAGATATTGTTGTTGGTTTTTACCTGAGTTCTTCTCCTTGATTGACCTCTTCTTCCCGTAAAGGTTTGAAATTTTGAATCTAATTTCCGGGTTTTAATCTGTGTTCTGTGCTACTATCCTTAATGGGATTGATCTCACGACATTTCGACAAAGTTTCATTTGTCATATTCTGGCGATTTCTGTTGAGTGTTCGGAAGTAGACTGTGCTGCTTCCTACTATTTACGATCTGCTTCCTACTATATAGATATTGTTGTGGTTTTACCCGAGTTCTTCTTCTTGATTGAGCCGGTTCTAGGCTTCCCCCCACCACTATGACGTCACGTGGGGTGAATGACCTGAACCGGCTCGACCTTGGAAAATATGTCTGGTGCATACGACCTTGAAAAATATGTCTGGTGCATGCGACCTTGAAAAATATGTCTGGTGCATATGACCTTGAAAAATAGGTCTAGTGTATAGGTGAGATGTGTACCGCACCCAAAACTCCCCACACTTCCCCTCAGACTTCCCTCACCCCCCCCACACTTCTCCCATCCCTTTTCCAAACTTCCCCTCACACTTTCCCCATCCCCCACTTCCCCCATCGTATCGTCTCTGTCGATGCATTGGTAGTGGGGTTGTCCATGCCGAGTGTCCAGTGGCGCGCATTTGTTGCCCTGTGGTGGGAGGTGGTATCCACTATATAAGTAATGAATATTTTCATATGGAATCATTAGAAGAAGCTGCATCAGTTAGAAATTGTTCGTGACTTAGTTATTCAGTGCCATATCTACAGCTGTTAGTTGTGTGTGTTTTTCTTTCGAAAACTGTTTATATCTTCCATTCAATTATTCATCATGTCTGTTCCAAAAGTAGACTTGCAAAAAATCAATAGTGTGATTATACAGGAGGTGGAACTGTTGGAGCAAAGGGTCTTATCATCATTGACAATAAATGAATCATATAATAATAAGAAATATGACCCTTTTTTCCACTCGGTTTGGTAAATCAATTTTATTAACCATGGAAGATGTGAGGAACAATAATAAATTATTCAAAACATGGCTACCCAACTCAATGCAATTTGGTGATGATGATATAACTCACATCAATTCATCCAGTGGTAAATATACTCTGGTATATTTAGGTCAGAGTCCACAAAATTTTGCTGGCATGAAAACAAGATCCCTCTTCGAATTCAATTGCATTGAATAGCATTAGTAGTAATCATTTGTATTAGTGTTTTATTTGTACATAAGATTATTTGGATGTCAATTGTAAGGAAACAAACATTTTCATACATTGTTGAACACACTCACTTCTTCGAAAGATGATAAAGTCTTAAGTGAGTATTATTAATGATGACTTCATGGTTGATCTAATGTTTTTTCCTCATTTGTTTTCAGTTCAAACCATCAAAGATGATGATGCAGTATGCTAGTGAACATTAGATCAAAGCTTAGGATCTCGTTTTATTCATCCAAAGACTGTCTTCCGAATTGAAGGCATGGAGTGAGAATGCTGAGCAAGATTGAATTGTGTCTTCGTGATGCTGAAAACTACAACAGTGGTGCGGAAGTTTGCGACAAATTTCTAGCTAGGAATTTGGATCTGAATCATCTTTGTGAGGCAATGATTGAATTGAACCTGAGGAGATTCCTCCACCGTCTTCAACCACATCTATCAGAATGGATCATTCAAGAGTTCCAATTGAATGACGAAAATCGTGAGGAAATTGAAGACGGTCGAGAAAATGATGAATATGAGGAAGAAATAATTTTGGATTATTTATAAGTACCAAAAAATTGAATAAAACACATTGATATGATTTTCATGTTTTGCTTATCCAATTCCCATTATATAATATTAAAAAAAGTATGAATAACAAATATAAATGAAGAGAAGAGAAAATGAATATGAGATATAATGAAAAAAAATACAATCAATGATATAATAGTATCAAAAAAAAAGTGTCAATATCTGCTGTGAACTGAGCCATCCAATGCATTGTATGTTAGAAATGTGTCATGCAAAATGAGTGCATATACTTTGGTGTTATCTGGAAACTTGGTCTTCCTGGTTTCGAATTCAACCTTTATATCGATAATTGATGATTTTGTGGCATTTGGTTGATGCGAACAATCGATGATGAATAGTGGATTCTCACGAAATAGCCCGATATCCATTAAAGGTTCACTCATGTCCTTATCATAATAACTTCTTTGAAAGTTCTTATAAGCATAATAAGCTGAGGAATCGAGTTTGTTTTCGAAATCCAAATTTCAACGCTCATATGGATATACTTCAGAATTCAAATATACTCGAATATTATTGATATCTGCAGTTATGAATTTTGTGATGTCCTGTGTTCTATCTTCAGATGTGGTAGTACTTTGGAATCCGATGATGACAAAACGAGGTGTTTCCAAAGCGTTGGTTGTTTTTATGGCCCATATATCTGAAGATGTTCCACGTAATGACGGAAGTTCATAGAGGTCCCACATACGATAAGCTAGCTTGATTTTTTGCATTGAAACCGCTTTTGTTGATTCTATTCAGATGTTTGAGTTTATGTTATCATCTGGTACTATATGTCTTATTTTCCATTCGATTTTATTAATTTCCAAATCAGCATCAATCTCACCAATATATATGAGTTCTTGAAAGATCGAGTAATTATTAGAATTAGTTCTTGTTACGCATTCAAGACACTTTTGGTGGTGTAATCTTCAGCAAAACCCATAAAATATTTCAGTGGTAATTTTCCACTGAATACGTGACTAGTTGTATCCAAGATATCGTGTTTTGATTGGAAAGCCCCCATCCAGTTGTCAATAAGGTGTTTGCATGCGATGTCCCAAACGAGATCATAGTTTTCATTGTAGATGTTATCCCCGGTTTTTTAACAACAGCCACTTGTTCACCACCCATTTCATAACGGAATTTCATCAAAAAAGAAAGCAATTGCATTATTAAATAGATAACTACTTAATTTTTGATTTTCATGGAATTATTATCCAGCAGCTTGACTGCATTAACCTTTCTAGATTTCATATCATTTCTAGAAACATGTGGATTCGTTTTCCGATGGCATTTCAGGTTAACTTCCCAAATGTCTGCTACCGCAGTTGTCGGTTGATTTATAAAAGTTATAATAAAAGAACGTGATGATGCGTTGGCTAAATACAAAGGAACTACCTAATCTGATTGGGAGCGTTATAAAGAGCTCAGGAATTTTACTTTAGCCGCAATTCGCCGCGAGAAAAAGGCATTTCATGATCGAGTCCTCAGCACAAATAATTCCAAACATCTTTGGAAAGAACTCAACCGTCACGTTTTGAATAAAGCACCAGTCGCTATCCCCAGTCACCTCCAGAATCCAGACGG